CAAAAACAATGAACAAAAATAAATTCTTATAATTTCTCTCGATATATAGGTCGAATCAAATCAGATTTCATTTGGATGCAAACTCTCATTTATTGTAATTCATTGTATGTGGATAACATTTACATCAAATGTCTAGAGAGAGATGATTGGATCCACAACCCACCAAATGCTACAGCCGCACACCTGAAATAATTTTAATTTTTATACAAGTCTGTGTTTGGTTTCTATATCTATATGATATTTGATTTGGTTTTGGTACAAACTACAAAAGTTAAATCAAATTATCATTATCATTTTAGAGATTGGTTTCTAAATAAATCATAAAAGTTGATATCCCAAAGTATCATGTCATTTTAGAGGTTAATACTTATATTTATCCTTTAATACTCGTATTGTGCAGGTATGCCGTTCATGAGAGATATTCTCAATGTATAGCTATAATGTCTTGTCAATAGGGTGTACAGATGTGACTTTGGATGTATCAATATCATGGCTTTAAAAATCAGATCGGAAATGGAACTGTTTTGACCATAAGTTCCTAAGACAAACAGTCTGTTTGGTCCAAAGCCTGATTGAACAGTTCTGGGAACAAAATTGGAGTAAATTCATGATCAGTTCTCAAGTCAACCGGTCTAATTAGGGTTTGTTGGATTTTAATCTCATAAGAGATTAAATCCAATGGGTTTGATTGGTCAATTACATGAGAAATTGCACTTGCACACTTGATTGAAAAATCAGTTTTTCTTTTACAAAACTCAATTTTGATCTTGTCCCACATTGGAAAATTACAAGTTTTGTTTTCAGTATTTCAATAAGAACTGATTTACACTCCTTAGAATTAATAGAGGAGAGTATGGGGTTTCAATACCATGCAACGCACGCGCACATGTGTGCATGTGTGTGTGCGGCGCAATGAGGCGCTTTAGAGGGGCACTTTGCTCGTACCCGCGTAGCTCGCGATGGGTAGCTTTGGTTTTGGTGCGTTGATCACCGTTGATGAGATCAACGGTCACGATTCGATCGGGTGTGATCAAGAGGCACAATTCAAAGTTAACAGTCACTAACTGTTAACTACTTTTTAAATAGTCACAATGTTTGAAATTGCTGTGACTGTTCAAGGTACCTTCTCTAAACCAACACCTACCTTTTCCTCATACCTCTTCACAAATTATTTAAGGAGCATGAATCAGACTCCAAAACACACAATTTCGAAATTCACTCTCTCTCTCTCTCTCTCAGTCCGGTCTGCTACAGTCTCACAGAAGGTTTCTTTGGAGACTCTTCAACTTTGCTGGTTGCATATTCTCGCCCAAGGCTCTGTTGTATCCTGGGAACGAATTTTCCTGTAACCCAACAGCAAACTTAGTAAAACTGAGTGGGGGCAAATAACATTCTAAAGACAGTGTCTTCAGATACGCCTCAGAGCTTCTCCTCCAAAGTTACAGTGACCCCATCTTCCCAATAGGGTTGTTTACGGGTCCGGTTGGATCAGTTTAATAGATTTTTTTCAATCAACCCGACCTGATCGGGTTACTAAAAGAGCAAACCGAAACTGACCTGCCATTAAGTAAAACCGACCCAAACATGAAGTATCGGTTTGGATTGGTTTGGTCTGTTTGGCATTGTTTGTGAACAACCTTATATTTGGTGTAAAATTTCCTATTCAAAAAAGGAAAACAATCCTAAAGACAAAAGTAATTCCTATTTAACTAACTAGAAAGAATAAACTAGGATAAGGATTACCTAGTTAAGGAAAGACTAGGAAATTAGAAACTAACTAACTCGGTCCGGTTCACTCGGTTTTCACACATGAAAACCAAAATCAAATCGAATTATCGGTTTATCCCTCTTCACAACCCAAAACGGACCGGTGGTGAAGAAAAACTGACCAAATCAGGTTGGGTCGGCCAGTTTGGTCAGTTTGGCATTGTTTATGAATAGCCCTAGGTCCAATCATCTGGTTCGGTCTAGTTTTCAAAACCATGATCACTATAACATAAAGATAAAGAGAGATTTTCTAAACAAAAACAACTTTCACATCAGCTAAAATAGACTCTACAAAATAATGTTTCGATCCACTCAGAATCTACTACCCACAAAGCGTTTCCACATCCCTACCCACAAAACACCACCACCAAGTATTAGGGGTGTCAATTGGACTGGATTTGGTCCAATCCGGTCCAGTCCAATGTGAGTCCATTACAAATGGACCTGGTCCAATCCAATCCAATGAAAATTTTGGACCATTTTGGACTGGTCCAAAGATTGTCCAATCTGTTCAAATTCTTGTTAATTTAGATTGGTTTCAACTCAAACCTGATCCATTGACACCTATGTTCTTATTTTCTATCAATGGATCAGATATTGACTCAATCCAATATAAATTCATTATGGATGGACCAGGTCCAATCCAATATGTCATATTGGTCCGTCCAATCTATCCAAATTCAATATGTATTATTGGTCCATCCATTCAGTCCAAATGGATTTTGATTTAAATGGAATCCAACCCAAAACCGGTCCATTGACACCCCTACCAGGTATTGGGAACATTTAACCCATGAATGACAAGAGAATATTCTCAATGCACAGCTATAATGTGCTGGGTTAGAGATGTAAGAAACATATTGCGGGTAGCAGATCCAAAGCCTGTTCGAATCAGGTTTCATGAATTATTTAAATTTATGTCTTAATTAGTAATAGTAACTATTGATGGATTGGTCATTCAATCGAGTTAGAGTTTGGTTAAGACAATATTAGACACCCATCATACAACTCGTCTTAATCCTTAAGACCCTTAACCACTGCACTGAACGGTGTAGCCCTTAACGGATATCTGACCCGTGAAGAGGTCTATTTACTATTTAAACTTTAAAGAGTTCAGATCTATTGCATTTGATTGTGTTTCTGTTGAACAGTGATTCACATTTTTATATTGAAATAAGATGATAATTATTAAGCTGATTAAGAAATAAGAATAAGAAGAAGAAAAAGAAGAAGAGGACTCTATCAAAAGCCTAGAGCACGGGTATGGTATCTGAGTTTTATAACACTAACAGATTTTATAACACTAACAACTAACAATAAGCCCATATTTACCCAAATGAAGTTAATTATGGCATAAGAAGCCTGGTAAATGTTATAAGTTTGGAAACCAAGGACCGGACATGGAAGTATTATGGGACCAGTTCTTGGGTTGAATGGTCCAATCATTCGATTTGAACAAATGACCTGTTATGACTTAAAAAATTATATGGTGTTTGGAAGTGTGGGTGTTTTTTGGGACTGATTTTCAAGAAAAAAACGTCCATGTTTCCAAGGCCCATTTTTCACAAAATTAAAAAACACTTCTGCCACATAGGCAGTGAGCAACATTATGCTGTTTGATAAGGTGATTTTCATCACCGTTTTTCATGTATGTGCTAACAGGTAAGCACCACATAGGATACACATCAGTCAACCGTTGGGGGAAACGGTTCACCAATGCATGATAGATAAGCACCATATAGAATTTTGTGTTTCATGCATCGGTGGGGTCTTGATTTTCGAGGCATGCCCGATTTTTTAATAATTGACTGAACCAAACAATGAGATACATGGGCATTTCATGTGGATCTGACGTGGCACCGTTTTTTTGAAAACGACCAAAACTCCAAACATCCCCTTAAAGATAAATAAATAAAATAAAAAACAGCCAAAACCATTATCTAGATTGACAGTTGAATCACCTGGGTCAGCGAATCGCTGACTTCGCGAAAAAGCGATTCTAAGATGAAATGGAACCTATTACCTAATCAATTCCTGGGTCAATCGGTCCAACCGCCTGGTCCGATCGGGCTTTCAAAACCATGTTGGAAACACAATGAGTCAACTCGAACATCAAGTAGATTCCTGATAGGACTATTTCAAACTCAAGTGTTGATCCCAAAAGAGAAAATTTTTGCAATGAGCTCGCTCAGTTTGCCATTAGGAACAGTCGCTCAATAACCCAGTCTGTCCTTCGCCTTCCTAAGTTGGGTGCGTTGTAGAACACATTAACACTTAACTAATTACCGGTATCCAGGAGTGTTAAAAGAATGGTTTTAATGTAATTGTAGAAGTGAACAGGGGTATTTGCATTATTTCAATTTTCAAAGAAATGTGTGGGAACTGGGGACTGAGGTATGAGAATGCGATGCGAGGATGCAGCACGCACAGACAATGCGGAGGATATCTGTACTTTGCCATTGCCAGCATGTCTATTGTCTCGTTAAGACTTAAGAAGACGGAACTCCACCATTAACCTTTTCTTTTTCCGTAATTTCTCGTCTTTTGCTACTATAATCCTTTTTTATCCTTTTCCCACAAATACCCCCATCATTTTACACATAGACCTACCTACAACTAACTCTTCTTATTCAACCAAAATTAGACTACAAAACCCACTGATCTCCTCAATCTTTATATAATTAGAAAGCACAAAACTAACCGGTTTTAAATAGAAAAAAATGTAAGAAATAGTGTCACCATCCAAAGAGGGTCCTTCATGTTAGGGCTGCCAATTCTCCAACCATCCAATTGTGTGAGGGTTTATTTTGATTCCAATCAAACGTTCAAAGTGATCCTTCAACGAAATTTAGTATGTATTTGTTTTCAAAACCAAAAAAAAAAAAAGTAATAATGCCAATCGTTTATAAATCAAAGCCAATTTGTATGAATATCTATGTATACCTATCATCATCTTTGACAATAACATAACGACATTTTAAAAAACGTTTATCACAAAACGCCTACAAAACAAAATACACGCTGAGATAATTGCCAACTAATCACACTTCCCCATTAACAAATTCCAATCAATCACATTCCTTTAGATAGCAAAGAAACCTAGAATCCAATCAAGCATCGGAAATCCTTCTCACTTATGGAGTCACAAGTTCCAAATGCAAGGCTATTTTAGTAATTCTAACAACTATTAACGACCACCTTCCGGTAAATAGCGGCTATTATATATATTTGAGACACTACTTCTCGTTACTTGTCAAGGCAGGTAAGAAGAAGAAGAAAATAAAAGGAAACTTTAGAAACTGATTTCTGCAGCTCTGAAACAGCAACAGCAATTCATCAATGGCGGAGCTCGAGAGCCCACATGTTATGCCCAAGGTCATCACCTTCCTCTCGTCTCTGCTGCAGAGAGTGGCGGATTCCAACGACGTCAACCGCCGATTAGAGACGCAGAGGATCTCCGTCTTCCATGGTCTCACCCGACCCACCATCTCAATTCAGAGCTACCTCGAGAGGATCTTCAAGTACGCCAACTGCAGCCCTTCTTGCTTCGTCGTCGCTTATGTCTATCTCGATCGGTTCGCTCAGAGGCAACCCTCGTTGCCCATCAATTCGCTCAATATTCATCGGCTGCTCATCACCAGCGTCATGGTTGCCGCCAAATTCATGGATGACATGTAAGTTGCTCGATACGATATGTTGAAAATTCTTGTATCCTCTTTCATGAGTAGTTTGACATGTACGTTGCTCGATACTCTTCCTTCTGTTTCTTCGTTTTATTTTACTGGGTTTCAACTTTCACGAGTAGTTTGAACTTTCATAGCCGGATTCTGATTTAATGGGGTTCTGGGTTCGTTTTCTTGTGTGTGCTCTGGTTTGCCGGAAAACGATTTTTTCTCTGTGGGTTTTTAGATAAATCTTCATGGAAGGATTTGGGTTGCTTTGAATTGAAATCTGTTTTTCGATCTGATCGGAGTTTCCAGCTTTTTCAGATGAGGAAAAGAAACCGATGAGATGGAAATGCAGAATTGCAGCTTTCTGTTATCTAATTTTGGTGTTTTGATCTTTCTTTATTGTCACCTTTTTATGAAAACGAGGTTTAAGATTTCCTTATCGGACGAAGCCTGAGAAAAAATATATTTAGTAAGAAGAACAGCCAAAGAAACGAAGAATCCAAGGTTGACTAACATGCACCGGGCAGACCCGCGCATGTTAGTCGCACCGATTATGAAACAAACAACCAGCGGTCCACCGCCAGGGAGGGAGAAAGACAACCATGTGAACCTCCCCATCTTTTATCAGACAGGGACACCTAAGATGCGGTAAGGCTGTCTGCGAATGGCAGCCCTGTAAATTCCATTGCAGAGCTTTCCAATTTCTTTTAATTAATTAAATTTCTTGGGTTCAACGAAAAAAACCGTACAGCTCATACAACACTGATGTGCTCTGTGAGGTTGACTTGAGGGTGACATTGTAATTTAAAATGGGGACGAAAATAGCGTTTATTTTGTTTCTTCTCTATTGGAATTTTCCTATCCAAAGTAGTTCCAATTCTGACTTTTTGCTTTTGATTTATGATTTTTCAGGTACTACAACAATGCCTATTATGCTAAAGTTGGAGGAATCAACACAACAGAGATGAATTATCTTGAAGTGGACTTCCTTTTTGGGTTGAGCTTCCACTTGAATGTGACACCCAACACCTACTACACCTACTGCTCCTACCTCCAAAGAGAGGTGTACATTGAATCTCCTCTAAGCTTGGTAGAAACTCCTCTAAACTTGGTTAGATCTTCAAAGCTCCATTGTTGCTTCAATGAGGATGATTCCAACCACCACCAACAACAACAACTAGCTGTATGAGGTTTTGATGCCTGATTTATATATGTTGGAGATAGAAATTAGAAATCCTCTCTCTCTCTCTCTCTCATAACCCATGACCCTGTATTAAATCTGTTTGTTTTTGTCCTTTTCTATTTTGGGTTTTCCTTTTTTGTGCTTTGGACTTCAATCAATGGGTATATACAGGTGGGAATTCTTCTTTACAGTCTGGATGATGTCACTAATTTCCCATGTTAGATACTTGGTATTGTCCATCATTAGACTCTCCTTTTAGCTCTGTGGGTGGCATTGGAATTGGATAGTTAATAGTAGTAACTAATCTTTGGAAAAGATAAATAGTGAGTAAAAAGAAAAAGTTTTGTTTGGTTACTTTGGTAGATGACAAAGTTAAAGTAAAATTGGATAGAGAAGACAACCCCTTGTCTCTTGATTGTTGTCCACATTCTATTCTATATAAGCAGGGGACACTGCACATGTGCTAGGCAAAGGTGTTATGGTTGTCAATCTCTCATAAAAATCACTCCCATCCACTGTCTGTGAAGCTTTTGTCTGTGGTCTCATTAGTTGAGAGATGTTTGGGTTACATTTAATGGCTCTTTCATATATTTATTGTTCGAATAAGATACTACTGCTGTTCTTTTTGGCAACACTAAAAAGTTTGAAGATTATCAAACTCAAGAACATGCAAAAGCAAGCAGCTTATCACTTCTGACTTTCACAGCTTCCAATTATCTACATTTGGCGCTTTAATTCCATTGCTGCAGAAGACTCAGCAGATGTCCAAGAGCTCAGCCACTTTATCCCACAGATGAAAACAGCACTCCTGTTCGGGAACACCCACTGATGGCTCATGGCTCCAGAACATGGTCCCCACGACCAGACCCCAACTGGTGTGGTGCAAACCCGTGACACTGGCCTAGATTTGGGTACAAAACCCAAGGAGCTAGTTTGGTCATTTGCCCCAAATTTGTGTTAACTAAGCATGGTTTATTATGGAATAATTGGAGTGAAGTGAAATGTGTATGTGTATTTGTTTTTTTAAGTGACACACCACACACCCACTTCACTGGTCACTAATGGGTACTTTCTACGGTCGTACCTACACATTGCATCCAGCTAAGCTTCAAGACTCACCCACCGGCACCACTTGATGGGTCCAAGTCGGATAGTTTGTCCATTGATCATTCCCTCAGGCTTCAAGACAAGCATCAACTACTACACCCTTTTGAAGGACTTGAATTGTATTATTTGTTATCCCTCACCACCACCCCCTTCCCATTGCCATTTGGGAATTATAACGAACAGTTGCTTTCCTCTTTGAATGGACAAGCACAATGTGCTGACCCGTCTGCACAAACCAAACTGAGAGGCTATGGCTCAATGTGGGTTGGAGGCCCACTACTCGAATGGTCATGTTCATGTCTGTCTCTGAGGCTGTCGAGAGTCGAGAGCTGAAAATTGAGCAGATTGGACCCCGTTCAAGGGACCTCACTTGACCCCTAGACCTATTCAGTCGGAGAAATAACCAATCAATCAAATCAAGAGCGAAGTCCTTAAAGAAAAGCGTAAAAAAAAACGAATGAAAAACAAAGTAAAATATAAAAGTGAAAGATAGCATTCATTGATAAAAAGAGGTTATAACCAACTGAGGAGTGTGGTAGCCCAGTTGGTGCATTGCATGAATTGTTCTAGCGATGGTGCTGTTTCGAATTCCATTATTATTAAAGAAAAGAGCTGTTGATGTACCCTAAGGGGGTGTCAGGCAGTTTTTGAGTCGAACTCAGGATGATTTCGTGAGGATTGAACCCGATTTTAGTATGATTTTGTGAGAACAAAATCCAAATTCAGATTATATGGGTGCAACTATCGTGTTTTTGAGTCGAAGCAGCACCCGGACAGGCTGTAATTGATCAAACTTTTGATTTTTCTTCTTTCTTGGTTGTCTAGTCTCTGCTCATATTTTGCTCTTAAGGGAGAGTTTAGACATTCTCTTCTGTTTTCTGACCATTTTGGGAGATTCTAATTAATGAAGCATCCACCACAACCCCATGAAAAATAGTCTTCAGGAGTAATTGTTGAACTTTATTACTGTTTTAGCTTGGTGTGGGCGAAGTCTTGGCCCATCCCAAAGCTTTAAAGGGTCCCTTCGTGCCCCAGAGCCCACATCAATCCTCAAGATCCAACACTGGATAACTACACTATGAGGCTCGTTTGGGAGGGCTTCAGCAATGATTGAACCACTTCAGAGTTCGAACAAACTACCCAAACTAGTTATACCAAATTGATTTCTCAGCTCAATGCAAGCATTTTATGGCTTTCTGGGTTTTTCACCAAACATAACTTCACAACTATGCATGGGATTTCCAATTGGTTCCCCAATAAAGCATTGACAATAATCAGATAATCCCCTTCAACAAAGATCATGATTTTAAAAACCAACCCGGTAATAGAACAGCTTTGACCACCAATTCTCGGGTCAATGGTCTGATTGTCCGGTCCGATCCAATTTTCAAAACCATGACAAAGGTGATGAGGGCGGATTTGGCCCTTCAATGATATTGTGACACATGGCACCTCGGAACAACTAGGTGACACCCGGAACCACTTAGGCAACAACTTGCCTTATCCAAGTTGATGGTGTCCCACCTGGCGGCCTAGCACAGGTCCCGACCTGGCGGCCTAGCACAGGTCCCGACCTGGCGGCCTAGCACAGGTGCCAACCTGGCAACCTACGAGACATGCTCGCCGATAAATTCGACGTGCATGTCCTAACACTCCCACGATCCTTGGAAGTTGGCCCACGTGCCAAACGATCCGGAGGGTGGTCAACGTGCATGGTGGTTGTCTCAGGGAATCTCGAACCACTTAGACGAATTCTCAGAAATCTCGGATGCGATGCGTGAAGCCCACGCCAAACAATGCCTATATAAAGGCACCAACCCCAATGGCATAGGGGGGGCAAGTAAGCATATTCTAGCTCTCAGACTTTGTGATTTTTAGCTCGCAGTCTACTATGAGAGTACTGGCTTAAGCATCGGAGCGACTCGCCGGGTTAGCCATCATGGGTCCTCTGACATTGGTTCCTCGCAGGTCCCTAAAGAACTACGAAGCTCAACAATCAATCCAGCTCGCCACCAGCCAACTCGGTCCTCTAGTCAGCTCGACACCCAATAGGCAGTTCGGCACTCTAGTCAGCTCGTCACCTAACCTGCCTAGCTCGGCCCAATCAACTCGTCACCTAACCTACCTAGCTCGGCCCAATCAGTTCGGCACCTAACCTGCCCAGCTCGGCCCAGTTAACTCGGCACCTAATCTACCCCCAACTCGGCCTGGCCAACTCGGCATCCAAGTCCTCATCCAACAAAAATTCACTTCGGCCTCTGCATCAGCCACTTAGAAGCAGACCAAATGACGAGGTACCTAACACAAAAAATTGTTACATCACAAAAAAAAAATGATTCAACAAAAGGTATTAGAATATCCCACCTTCAAAAAAGCTCGGCCCAGTCAGTTCGGCACCTAACCTTCAAAAAAGCTTTCTTAGCTGAAGTTGATTCTGCAATTTCCTTCCAATTCCTTAGCATCTCATCAATTGAGAAATCAACAAACAATTCCAAAGTATCTAATAAGTAGGGAGGAGGAAGGTCGAATGGACGACAGCAGGTTCAGAGTAGTAAGAAGGTGGAGGTATGAGGTGTCGATCGAAGCCAAGACTTTCAAGTTCGAAGAGGAAAGGATCAAAGGTGAGGATGTTTTGAAAATCAGAGAGAATAACAGAGTGACTGTGTTGGTGTCAAAGGAGGTCTTAGTCTGGTTGAAAGGTTTCATAGATGGGGCCATCAACTCTGGTAAGGTGATTGGATGGACGAATTCTTTGGTTGTACCAGGTAAGAAATATGTAACATAAGTGAAAAGAAACAGAAAGGGTTGGTTTATCTCTGTGGTGGAGTTTTTCGGAACAAGTGGAAAGCAACTACCGTGTGTGCCAGAAGAGAGGCTACGGAAAGGGTAGATGGATTTTGTGAAGGTGCTACAGTCTTTTCTTGTAGCCTTGGAAGTGAAGAGAGTAGAGGGGTGAAGAGAACTGGTCAATTCTCCAAAGACCAGGGTAAAAAAGCTCAGGAAGGGGCAGTTTCGATTAGTTCCTCTATGAGCGTAGAAGTGCAAGGCACTCCGACTGAAGTGGTGGTTGCTTGCACGTCTAGTCCTCGAAGATTATTGGTAGGAGYAGGGAAGGATGAGTGGAAGAAAAGAAGGGTAGTGGCCGATAGAGGAGTGACAGACTGGAGAAGGGTTCTGTGTACTGTGGCAGGGGAGTTAGGATCTGGGAGTGAAGCTTTGTTGTTCCTTTTTGCAGAGACGAAAGTTGTGCTTGATGTAGGCGACCAGGAGCTAAGTTTTAAAGCAGTAGTGGTGGATGGAGTTCTGATACAGGTTCAGAATTGGAGTCCATTTTGCAATGAAGTCGAAGTCCAAGATGGTTGTGTCCAGCTGAAGCTTGTACGCCTTCCATTTCACCTCTGGCGGAACTCTGTTCTTGAACACATTGTGCATTGTCTGGGAGGCATCTTGATGAAAGCTGATAAACGATTCCTGGGTGCCGTGGAGTTATAGGTTGCTGGTGTAAGGCACGAGAACTTGCCGAGGGTCATTGAAATATGCTCGGATGATGCCTGGTACAAGGTGTGGGTGGCCTCTGAAGTTGAATGGTCGTGGTGGGGAGGTGTTCCTAAGGTAGAAGATGATGAGCTGGCGGGGTGGTGGACACGTGGAGGGCGTTTGTTGGGAGTCAAAAAGGTGGAGCAAACGCAAGTTTTTTTTGGGGTTACTGAGCCGATTGGGGAAAACCAAATGACAAGAAATCCCATTAAGGAAAATTTTTCAAATAGGTTTAAATTAAGCAACTTAATGGCGGGATTCTCTTCCTTTGCTGACGTGCCGAAAGGGCAGGGTGGGTTAGGGAGCCAAAAGGGTTGATCTGAGCCGTTGAAGGTGGCAGGTGGGTCGGGTGGGGTGAAGGTTGAGCCGGGACAGAATTGGAAGGGCCCACGTGACAACTTAAAAGGTCACGCGGGCGGGTCGGGTGGGCGTAACACTGAAATGGGGATCCGGTTGAAGGACCCACGTGATAACTTTAGTCGTCACGTGGGTCGGGGCAAAGGGGCTTCTCTTGGGGCGCTGATAGACAGTGCTAATGGTCTATCATCGTCCCAAGTTGTGAGAAAGGGGGGGCTTG